GTTTCAGAGACTTGATCGTTTTCAAAAATAACATGGCAACAAAGAAGGACCTCAGTGATTTACTGATGGAATTAAATGCAGCTAAGGCTGAGGGAGATCTGCATGGTCTTTCTTATTTGATATGCCCAGAGGTGTACATGCAAGAGTACAAAGTTACCATGCCGCAGGGGTGTCAAACATTTTCACCGGTGTCAAACTCATTTTCACCGGTGTCAAACTCATTTTCACCGAGGGCCACATGAGCGTTATGGTGGACCTTGAAGTACCAGTTGTAATGAATTTTGATGTTTTATGTTTAACTTTGACTAAACAGTGTTTTAACATGTCCTCTTTTAAACACTGATAAGAACTAAGTGTACGAATGACTAAATCTGAAATAAATACATAAATATTAAAACTAATGAAGTTTTACTCAGTGAGGAGTTTCTAGTGAGTAGCTCATATGCATTAAGGCAGATTTAGTTTATGGTTGATGCTGATTTTAAAGCAGTTTATTTTCAGACATTAATACTGTGCTATCAACTGATTGCTCAGTTACTTAAAGCGAACAGATCAGTGGTAGGAAATTTATCTTTCACCTTTTAAATTTATTATGTTTCATTGAATCATAAATTTAACGTTTACCATTGATATAAGACACAGTTTACATGTTAAGTAAAAAAAAACCTTTGTTTGGGGGGGGCATACGGGAGTCAACGTGGCCTGCGGGCCTTGAGTTTGACACATATGGTATACAAGAAAAATGTCTCTCTCGTGGATCTACTTATAAACAATTGCATTGTGTACCATTCCTCCATTCTCAGTTTTTGTCTCCTTCAACCAAAATCAAGCTCAAATGAAGAATGATCCCAGCATTAACTTTGTTTGTCAAGATGAATATAAAGTACACAAACCTCCATGGAAAAACAACAAACCTTTGATGGCCTCCAGACTTTCTCTTGACAGGCAGACTTATAGGCAGTTTGCACAGCATCAGTCATGCTTGTGACCTCTGTCTCAATGTCTTGCACAGTTTTGATTCTGGCAATTCTCCCACATATCAACTGGGATAAACTGCTAATAAACAGATTCCAGTCAGTGTTTTTTGGGATTCTGTAAGTGACTGAGTATGGTTTCCCCATCTTCAGCTTAAACTGAATTTGTCGATGGTCTGATATGGTTTCATCTGGGGATACATCCCAGTCACATACAGCGGGTAAAATAAGTATTGAACATGTCACCATTTTTCTCAGTAAATATATTACTAGAGGTGCTAATGACATGAAATTTTCACCAGATGTTGGTAACAACCCAAGTGATCCATACATACAAAGAAATCAAACCATAAATGTCCAGAAATGAAGTTATTTGTAATAATGTGGAATGGCACGGGGAAAAAGTATTGAACACACTTAAGAAAGGGAGGTGTAAAATTCAATTCAAATTCAATTCAATTCAAAAAAGGCATGGAAAGCCAAGACACCAGCTGAACTCTCTCAGTAATTAGAAAGCAAGTCTGCCCCTTGTC